CACCTGAAGAACAAAAGATTGGGAGTGGATTTTGGCCCTGTTGTTCTTTCTTTGGAAAGGATTCCAGGAAATGATAAAGCTGGCAGGAAAATTTGTGTCTGAGTCCTGGCAACCATTTCTTCTGGCAGAATAAGGAGATAGACACAGTATCAGATCTTGTGGGATAAGGGGAAGAAGGTTGGAAGAAAGAAATAAGAACTGTGCTGGAGTCCCTGTTCCAGCAGGGACCACTACCTTATTTACCTCCAGTTTCTCTCTCTGATTGGCAGCAAGCAGTGGCTTCCATGGGTTTGGCATAGGCAGAATAGGAAGAAAAGAAAAATGCGCAATTAAATTTCACCATTGGCTAATGCCATGTGCCCTCTGTTAGTGGGATAGAAAAGAGTCAAGCTTGTACTTCTGAGGGTACACTCAATCCCCTCGTCTAGGTCATCAATAAAGATTAAACAAGATGGGTCCCAGTACCGACCCCTGGGGGACACCACTTGAAACAGGTCACCAGCTGGACTTAACTCCATTAACCACTACCCGCTGGGCACGGCCCTCTAGCCACTTTCTTACCCAACGGAGTGTATACCTGTCCAGGCCACCGGCAGCCAGTTTCCCCAGAAGCAGCCTGTGAGAGACCGTGTCAAAGGTTTTGCTGAAGTCTAGGTAGACTACATCAACAGCCCTTCCCTCATCCACCAGTCTGGTCACGCAGTCATAGAAAGAGATGAGGTTGGTCAAGCACAACCTGCCTTTTATGAACCTGTGCTGGCTGGGCCTGATCTCCTGGACACCACGCACATGCCGTGCGATCTCACCTAAGACAGTTTGCTTCATTACTTTCCCCGGTACTGAGGTCAGGGTAACAGGCCCCAGATTCTCCTTACGGCCCTCCTTGAAGATGGGAGTCACATCAGCAAGCCTCCAATCCTCTGGGACCTCTCCAGTTAACCAGGAGTGCTAATAGATGGCCGAGAGTGGCTCGGCAATCACCCCTGCCAGCTCCCTCAGCACCCAAGGGTGTAGGCCATCTAGTCCCATGGACTTGTGACAGTCCAGATGGAGGACCATATATATTCCATACATATTCTAATCTGTGGCTGAGTCTAAACCATGCGATTTCTTGAGAACTTTTCCAAGCCCTGAGCTCCTAACATTCGTTCTTTAATACAAGAAAATGGCCTGGCCATGCTAATTCTTTCATTTTTCTTTGCAATTAAGATGTTTCGGATGTCGTGTGAAGCATGTCTGACTTCTCAGAGATGTCAGAATCACAGTAGGATGACTTTGATTGTTTACACTCTAGCTTATAACAGTCCGAAGATGAATTCCCAAACCAACCTGTAGCTGTTTAAAACCTGTGGAAGAATAACGCGTAGCAAACATGGACTGCTGAATTAGTCAGTTTTGCTCATTGTTATATTTTTTTCTCGTGTCATATTCATTAAAACATGTTTCTTAACATGTCCTTGCACCATTCAGAAATGAATGTGATTGCAAATTATCTCTTGGTTTTTGACAACATACCTTCCTCTTGTTCCAACAACAAAACTAGAGATGGTTTTGGATTATTTATTTATTCTGTGAAATGACTTTGAACCTCTTCACATTGCCTATTTTCTGTCCACAGTGAAAGACAGATGATCTTGATGCAGATACATCTCAAAGTTGGAGTGTACAGTACGCCTTGATCAACTGCTGGGCCTGCCTTTGTGCCTGGATATTTACAGTCTATCACTGTCCAGGGGATATAGCAACAAAACCTTGCCATTAGAGAGCCTTCAAGCTGTGAAGGCACCTTGCATGGAGGCAGCTGCCCTGAGGAGCGTTCATGAGAATGCCTGCCCTGGGCATGGCAGGATTGTAAGATCTGAGATAAAGGCTTCAACACCGTTGCTAACTGGAGAAATACTCTTCCCAATAGTTGCTCAATCCAGATTTCAGCATCCATTCCAGCTATTGATAATTTTATCCTTAGTATAGCTTTAATTAACTGTGTTGTACATCGTAGTAGATCTACCTTGTTAAACATGCTGCTCTTTGTTTCAGGGGGAATACTATAAGAGACAGATAAAATAATTTTGTTACATAGTAGGCAATAGCTCTCCATTTGTTAAATTTGCCAGCTGCTGTGGGATACCTTCCTGGGATGGAAGGTATCATATAAATACAAAAAAGTGTTAGTATTTACCCTGAATGACTCTATCTCCTCCCCCTCTATTTTTTATTTATTTTTTTAATATACTTGTATGGGAACTGCTGAATCATGGCCTGAACCTCTGATTGATCACCTGAGTTGAGCAATGAGTCAGCCACGGGATCACAGGTGAAGGCAATTCACCTGTGCTGCCGGAAGGGGTGGAGCCTGGCTGCACCTCTCCTAGACCCATTTAAGAGCTGATCAGCAGTTGGTAAGGCTTTTTTCTGAAGGTCCCTTTTCTGGAGTTTTGCAGTGAGCTCAGGATGTGAGTAAGCTTTCTATCTGTTCTCTTTTTGTTATTATAATCTGTCTTGCCAAACTGTCTTGCTCATTTCATAATTATAACATCTTTATATTCATTGACTATACAATACTTCTTTTTTATATTTCTTTCCTGTATTTTGTTCTCTATTTGGATGGTTTCTTCAAGGGCCCAGATGGAACTACAATCATAAGTTCTTTACACTCGAGTATCAACAGCCCTCACGTTTTTCTGACCTTTGTCAGGCAGTTATTTACCTGACCTGCTTTGCTTGTTATTCAATCTTTCTGTCTTCTGGAACTAATTCTGTGGCAATTTCAACTTCAAATGCTTTTCACTCTAGCTGAGTTTAAGCATGTTAATTTGGATCACAGTGCTTAGTGAGTCTAGTTTGTCTTCTTGTACTCAATAGATTTACTGTCTTTCTCCATGTCCAAGGATTAATTACAAACAGCTGAAATAGAAATTCTTGAAGAAAGACTAATCCTGATGTGGATGCATGGAAGAGAGATATGAGGCAGCAGTCCAGTAAACCACCAGCTTGAAGCTTAGTTGCACTTAAATGCCATAATTTGTGGAGCCAACTCAAGCTATCAATCGGAATCCTGTCAGACTAAACAAGTCTGAAATTTGAAAAAGTTTGCTTTATTTGGCATTTAATTTTCCCTTGGCATCTAAATCTTAGCTTTAATTAGAATTTCTCATGCAAAAAGGATTACTTTGAAGTCCAGCTTTGAGAGGTATTGTGTGTAGTGGTTTGATCTTTGAGAAGTTTCAGCTCCATCTTGCAGACATAAGAATGAACAACAGCATGAGTAGAGTCAGTCATTCCCAGAAGGGTCGCTAGAACCATGTCTCTCATCAGTTTACAAAGCGTCACTTCCTTATTTCTTTAAGTAAGAACAAAGGAAATCCACCTGTGGATGTCAGAGGGCTTAGCATTTCTTTTTAAAAGATACTGAAAAAATATTAGTGGTAAAATATACCATTGTTAAGTAACTATGGATCTAAATAGATTCCCAATACTTCAAAGACACTATATAGTATTTATTAAACCAATGCTTAGGGCAGAGGTTGCAAGATTAGCAAAAAAAAAAAAATCCATAATCAATCAAATATCAACATAGAACATATCAAGGTAATTGTAAAGGCAAAAAAAATGTATTAAATGGATCACATCAACAAGGTAATAGAGATATCTAATGAACAAAGGAGCAAAAACAGATGCGTAGCTGTTAAGGTCTCTAAAATATGTGCCATTTGGTTGATTTGAGTACGCAGTATACAAAGCAATGTCAAGAACTATAGTTTGCTTTCTAACAGATTCATAACCGGTAGGTCACAGAGAGTAAGTCAATAGATGAACTTGAAAAATAAAGCACCAAGAAGCCAAGAGACAAGAACAAGACAGCAGCTAATAATAATCTCTTGTTTTTACTGGGCATCTTTAAAGGGGAAGTAGAACGCACCAAGTCAAAGAGTTAAACGGAAATATGGTACTTCAACAAGTAATGGGAACAAAAGATGAAATAATAATCAATATATAGTGTCCAGAAATTTACATAAGGCAATCAAACCATATATTATAATATAAAAGACAAAAATATAATTCTATATTATATAGGCACTTCTGTGTGTGTGTGTGTCCCTCCACTGAAGTACATTCTTTCTGTTCTGACACAATGTTCATTTCATCGTAACATATTAATCATGCCTTCAGGATAATAAATGCCTAAGTAAAACTTATTTTGAAATCTCAGCCTCCAATTTAAGAGGTTCCTCTACAATCTTTAACATTTCTAGATTGTCTCTAGGTGTACATTGTCATACTTGAAAGTTTCATGTCTGTAGCTGAACTTCCATTATCTTCAAAACAATTAGTAAAAGAATTAATGGTGGTTGTTACTCAACTTCATCTTTAGCACCCAGCTCTAATGCTCAAGCTTCTTTGCTCAACTGTCAAATCATAGGTATCTGGGCTAATTCACAGGTGGACAAACATATGCCTTGCTATCTCCAAGAAGTAACTGTTCAAAAGCTGTAGGTTTGTGGGCTTTTCTAAGGTACACAGATATGCTACACTTTGTCAGATTGAATTTGGTTTGAATTGACTGAAGCAAGGAGGTAAAATATTCTATTTAGAAGCACTGTAAGTTGAAAAATAAAGAAAAAATAGGAAAAAGCTATGTGATTGTGTAAGTAAATACTATTACAAAGTAAATTTCACAAGAATGTGAGAATTGAATGGAACAAATCTGCTCTGGACAGAATCAATAAAAAAATCAATATTTTCCTGGCAATTGGGAGTGCAAAGCTCTTTATGTTAGTGATATGACTTTTAAATGTTGGAGGTGTTATATATAGGTGCGTCAGGTTAAATCAATATGGACAGAATATAGACCAGAAAAGAAACTAAAACAAGCCATGTAACATATCCTAAAGTCTGTGAGCATACATTGTGTATTTACACTGATTACTGTTTTCTTCAGGTGCTACAACATTTCTGTCTAGGTTTCTGACCATTAATTGTAATCTCTAAATCCTTTAAAGGTAACATTACTTTCTTATTGCATGTGGAAGTTCTTCACTCAATTCACTGTTTACTTTGGAAGTACCCTGTTTGGAAACTGGACTGCTGAACACCAGGATTACTACAAGCATTCAAGATGAGAAATGTTAGAATTGTATAAAGTCATGCTATTTGAATTAATTCTTCTAATATTTGTGGGAATACTTAGTGTTGGCAATAGTAAAACCCTAAAATGAAAATTTATGAGGCCACCTAAGGCCAGCTGTGCTTTCATATTTATTGGAAAGTTCTTTCTCCTCCTTGGTTAAGCAGCACAGATCAAATGGCAGTTTCATATTTGGCCATTTCTTGTGCCCTGGGGCCATAGGTGCCTGTTGCACTTCACGCTGATAAGCAAAATAAGGGCTGTAACAAGTAATAAAAAACTCTGTAAACTCATTGACTGTAACTCTGAATACCTGCTTCCCAATGAGAAGGGGAGCACTTTCAATTTTTTTATAGTCACAGCTAGCCAAAAATGCAATTATTTTTACAATACCTTCTGACCAAAGCAGCCTATAAGAGAATGAAGAATCCAAGGAGAATGCCTTCACGTTTCTGTGATTTTCATCATGTTTCAGTGCTTCTGAAGAGCTCGGCGTTACAAAAGTGACACCATTGAGGTGCTGTGAGGTAAGAAATGCCTATACCACACTTGGTGCCATTCCCGTTATTTTCAGTCAGTCGAGCATCCACATGGTGAGTAATGTATTGATGCTTGAATGCTGAGCCATATGCTTGAAGATGGAATTTAATTGATGCAGGGTCAGTTGCTGGGCAGCAGCAATGCTTTGTACCTAGTCTGTGTTGCTCAACATCTTGGCAGAAATACAGCTGTGCATTTAATATGTGGCTGACCACTCGTGCCCATCTGTGTGGCTCTCAGCCACGTGGATGGGGCTACTGGTCAGCAAGAAGGAAGCAGAGCTGGGTTTGAACAAGGGGGCAGCAGGGGGGGTCTGAGTGCTGATTCAGGCTAGCTAAGGGAGTGGTCAAGGGGAGACAGAGACAGGTTTCTGGCAGCAAAAGCATAAGAGGCCACTGGTGCCAGTGACTGTGAAGGAAATCCCTGACAGTGCCCTCCATCACTGACTGCCCACACTGCCCACCTGGGGTGCGGGTACAGGGCAAGAGCGTGCTCAGCCCTGGGAGTGAGCATCAGGCTGGGAAGCGAGCTCCTCCAGCTGTCCATTATTTACAATAACCATACTTAAAAACGTCATCTTTTTGCACTTGTAAGGGCGGCAGTGGGGCCAGTCAGGCTGAATAATGGGATGGGCGTTTGCTGGGGGCTAGTGCAGCGGTTCAATATGCTGCTGGGACTGGCAGGCTGGGAGCAGAGAAGGGCTGGCTCACCCAGTGGATCTTTAAACGCCGGCGCTGCAGATGCTCCATGGGATGAGCTGTGCATGTGCCAGTCCTGCGTGGAGCGACTGTGCAGACAGAAGGGAGACACTCTCAGCTGAACCTCAAACGTATGTAGTGGGAGGCAGGCTTGGGGAAGTGGGAGCTGTGCAGGGACACTAGAAGGGAGCCTTTATCTCCTGCTTTGTTTTCTAAAGTGTGCTTATGTACTTGTCTTTGAAGAAAGAAAAAAATCTGAGTTTGTTTTCATTCGTTCAATTCTGATCACTATTTTGTGCAGCTGACTCAGATCTCCACAAAGGAAAACATGGGAATTATGTGCCTTTCTGTCTAGATTTTTAAGGTGGATTTGGAGTTTAGCTTGATGGGAAAATCCTGGCTGTGCAAAAGCAGATGTAGCAGGTGATTGCTCATGCTGGTACTTGTCTCATCATCATGATCTAGTTGATTAAACCTTACTGTGACATGATCATTAATGTTTGGAAAATTTTAATGAAAAGAGAAATGTTAAGTGAAATCTTAAAGCAGATCTCACAGTTGTTATCCTTTTGGAGTCAATTAATGTAAAGTGACCTAAATGGCATGCTCTAGGGAGGCTTGTTGGTTATTTATATGTATGACTAGGAATATTTGAAAACATTCATGGAGAAAAGAGGATTTGCTTGTGCACTGCAAGTAGGTTACGATGCAGAAAACTGTAATGGGTGCTTCCTAGATAGGAGGAATTAGTGTGCTACTGTTCTTAAGCCCCTTATCTTATGTATCTGCGATCTCATAACTTAAAGTGCACAGAATTTAGGATAAAAGATTTCCTACTCAATCTTTGATAACTTGGCTGCACTCAGTGAATCCAGCTCTGAGATTTAAAGAAATATACCACAAAAACTGCCATCTTTTTCTATCAACTATCACACAAATTATACAAGTGTCAGAGAAACTTCAGCGTGGGGATAGAAGTTGTGGATGCTGTCTCACTGCAACAGGTCTTCTGGAGTAAATCAGAAGGAAAGAAATTGGAGCAAGCTTCTTGTAGAGCCCTTTTGGCTTTAAGCAATATGTAGATTGCTTAACCATTATTTAGCTTACAGGGGTTTGAGCCTGTAACTCGTATCTCAAAATCAAATCATTCAGACGCATTGAGTGTGGCCTGGCACCAAACGAGATTTCTTTCTAATTGATTTTGCTTTTCTGATCACATTTTTTTAGGATGGCTGCTTGGGTTATGAAAGCTGTTAAACTTCAGAGAAAATTTCCTAGGAAATCTGTTTTTTTTTCCTGTCATTATATACTCAGCATGTTTTGAACTACTTCACATTCTATGTTAGTTTTCTTGCCATAATGACAGCCTTGTAAGAACACGAGTATGTGCACATACACCTCAGTAAGGACATCAAGGGCTTCAAAGTTGAAATTTTTTTATATTGATTGCCTACACTGAGTCTAGGAATTTCAGAGGTTGCCAATTATTCTCTGCACGATGTTTTGTGTTTCCAGTGTGCAGGGGTGCAGGCTGCCAGAGAGGGTGATTCAGAAGCCCTGGGAAATCCCCACAAGTTTTTTGTAGTGTTGTACCTCTTATCTCAGATAGCAAACAGCTCCTTCTGAACCTATATTTTTAAAGAGTGCATAAGCAAGCTAGTGCTTGCCTGACCCAGCAGCTCTAGCTGGCCAAGCAGCAGTCCAAGCAGGATTCATGAAAATCAACTGATAGACAACTTACACATTGTACTTTATCAAAGCACTAGAAATAGATTTGTGAATTTTAGGTCTAGCCTGATAGAAAGCCCTTTGAACTGATAGTTATGTTGACATTTACCATACAAATTGGTAGAGTACTCTGAGGAGCTGCGAGGTTCAATGGACAAGGAAGACCAGAAGACTTGAATGCTGGGTGAGGATTTATGCCTGATGCCCACAAATGTTTGTATGCTACTATTGGCACAGCTGTGTTGCCAAAGAAATCACTGGTCAGGTGAAATGAAGTCCATGCTGATTGGCTGTTAATGTGTATAACTTAAAAAGCTGAAGGTAGTTTAGAGCTGATGGAGCAGTCGGAAGGAGTACCACTGAGCAGAGTTCCTTTTTGTGCTTGATAAGTTAATGCATGAAGAGGGGCATAATATCAGGTGAGAAGGAAATTTATTTTTGAATTATGAAGAGGGTAAAGTGTTTCCTTTGAACCTTCTATAGACAATGATGCTTGTGATCAGCAAATTGTGCTTGTTTGTTTGTAACGCATACCTAGTTTCTTACATATCGTAATTTTTCCCACAACACTTTTTTTAGCTGAAAATTCTGCTGAAGTTCGAATAATGTAATTGATTGAACCTTTACTATGATAGAAGAACTTTCTTCATTGTACAGGAGACTGAGCGTTAGCAAATGAGTTAAAGGTCAAGGCAGCAGCAACAGAGAGCCCCTGCATTAGTGGCACTGACTGGGAAAGATCTTGTGACACTGCTGCAGGTTAGTATGAGTCAGTCACTCCTACAGAAGCTGACAAGGAAAGGCAGCTTGCCTTGCATGCCAGTGGGTTGCCAGATATGTCTGCAGTCTTTCCTCAGCAGTGCATAAGAGGGCAGAGTGGTGTTCTAGATAATGCATCAAGACCTTTAGATAACCCACTTGCAAAGGAACTATTTCATGTTCGCTGATAAATGCTGTGGAACTGCTTTTTAATGTTATCATTAGCTCAGTGGTGTTGTGTACACTACCTGATCATGAAGAAAAAACAAAAAAAAAACCAGAAATTAACTGCTTTTTTGGAATTGAGCGGACTGAAAAGTGTAGCATAGGCTCAAACTTGAGGCATGAGCAATGCTTTGCTAGACTTTCTTTCATTTGTTTGTTTTTGGAGACTGTCTGCTGCATATTAGTTCACCAGCTTGCTTATGTACTCTTTAAAAATATAGGTTCAGAAGGAGCTGTTTTCCCTCTGAGATAAGAGGTATCTCTTATCTCTACAAAAAACCTGTGGGGGCTTCCTGTGGCTTTCTGATTCAATGCAGAAAACAGGCTTACACCTAACCAACTTGAGAGCTTTTATTTTTTTTCCCTTTTTTCCTCCTCTCAGTTCATAAGAGGAAGCTGGCTTGTCCAAGAACGGATTTTCTCTTCTTGTAGCTTCTTACAGTGTTTCAAAAGTTGCAAAGGGGATACATGAGTTAGTTCAAATATAATTCATATCTAGGCATAAGCATGCAGACAGGAAGACCCACTATGGATGTGCTAAAACTTTCATTACATATTGTATGGTCTTGAGAAGTGGTCTGTGAAAGTTGTTTAGAGGAAAAAATGATTGTCAATGTAGTTGAAACAGGGGACCACATGGGATCTACTATGTTGTGGTCCTGATGCTTCTTCATATCACAATAAAGGTGCTTGCTTTTATGGGAGATGTCGTTGCTTCCTCCAAAACTAGTGATGTTGGGAGATAGCTAAGACTTTTTTTGAGAGACAGAGAAGTCACTATCCCCACCAAATGTCACGAAATGCTCTATTATTTATAAGACTCTGAGTCCCTGGGTTGCTGTAATTGCTCTCTAATTATGTCCATATCACAGTTTCTTATCAGTTTGTCATTGCTGCTCAAATCTTCCCTTGAAATATGTCTTCAGTACTGTAGTAACTCGTTAATCTCAAATACATTTGCCAGTTACAATTGTTCTTCTGAAGCAAGTTCATTTTTCTAGCATTGCCACCCTACAGCACCTGGAGGAAAAGCAACAAGATTGGTTAATACTTTTTTGTCTTTCAATAAGTAATTGAAATAACCTTTAATTTTACTTATGTTCTAGCACCCTATTTTTTAATTCTATGTTTTGTGATGTTGCATTCCTGGCATCCTGAAATATTTTAGGTGGGAAGGGTGGCTGTCAAGTCTCGCCTCCTGCTTCAAGAGTGGATAACTTCAGTATTTTGAAAATTTCTGTAGATGATGATTGTGCTACCTCCCTGTTTTAGTGCTTCACAGATATCATGGAGCGTTTTGCCAGCTGCAATTTGTCAAACAAACTGAAGCGAGGAATTGAGTGCTGCAGAGTTCGTAAGAATATCACTGATGTTTGAATTTAGTGGATAAAGAATTGCAGAGCAATGTTGCACGTGCTTTACTTTCTGTATTCTTTCCATGAGCATCTGCTGCCCTATGTCATGTGTAAGGCATGGGAGCTGCTGGAGCTCTGCTCTGATTCATTTTAGTAGTTCTCTCATATCTGAGCTTACATGAGAAAATAATGAATATGGCATCCAAAAAGTGGAGATTAGCTTGAAGTTGTCCCTTTTACCCATGACCAAAATTTCTAACAAATTTCCCAAGTTGGTTCAAAGTGTCTCTGGTATCAGGCATTCTATTAACAATATCCTGCGAAGTCATCGGGGAAATGTAGGCAACAAATTCTCTGGTAAAACTGCAGGTGTTTACACTCAGCCAGCAAAAGTGAAAGTGATGCATAACTGAATTGTAGCTAGTAGAGAAGATTTGTTCATTACATTTCCTTCATTGTTCACTTGGACGATTCATAGTAAGTTGCAGAATAAAAATACAAATAGCAGGTGATTTGGCAGCAATTGATAATTTTTTGGATAGTTTTTAAATTAGTGTTATAAGCTCTATAGAGAATTACTGAGCATCAACTTGATTAACTATTTAATTAAGAGGAATCATAATTTTGAAATACGTCTTTGAAAAGCTGTTATTAGTTCTCAATTTTTTTCTTTATTTATTGCAGAAGACATAAAGATAAGCCAATGTTTCCATGGGATCTCCTGTAAGTTGCAGGACACAACTTGCGAAGCAGCTCTTGCACGCAGACCCCTGGGCAGCATCTGTGTAGGTCTCCTGGAGAAACGAAGCAGTGCAGTGAAAGGACTTCTGATGTTAGAGGCAGTGAGTAAGACCAGAAGTGGCTGGTGAAGGATTCCCTCTCCGGATTATCAAAAGTAAGGAAGAAAATATATATATATATATATATATTTTCAAATAAAATACAACCAGTTAACTTTCCAGTAGCCAAAGTATGCATTCAAACCCTTTGACACGTCAGGCTGGGTTGTTCTGACAAAGATCAGAATTTCAAAATGCAGTTACTTATGGAAATGCAATAACAGTCCTCACCGTGCTCACGATAAAAGTAGCAAGGTGTAGCAGTGCATTTATATGCCACTGCTATGGTGCACAAATGATTTTTTCCCTGAAGACTATGAAAGTCATCATCACAGTTTAACAGCATATGCTTTTTTAAACATTTTCTAACTCTCTGAAAAACATGCTCTGAAATTTTTGCCTCGTTCTCCTGTGCTAGCAGTAGTCTGTTCCCTTGTGGGCAAAACAAATATGCACTGAGATGTGATTGTTCAGATAATTTTGATGCAGCACCAGCATTGATTGTGTTTGTTCAGTTTGCTGCCTCCCTAGGCACGCAAAGCTTGTGCTGGTGTTTGGGTTGTATGTGAGCACAGCATCTGATCATTTAGAAGGGGTTTATGAATAATGGAATAATGTGGTGGGAGTCTCCAGGATGAAGGAGTGTACAAGCATGCAAGAGGTGAGAAGGGGAAGGTGGACTGAGCCCCAGCTCAGCTGAGTATTAACAGCTTCCTGGGGTGGGCTTCTATTTACTTGTTTTTCAACTCAAAGGCTCAAAGGACTGGATATCTAGACACATGAGTATGCCTACCTTGATGAGCAATTAATAGGTTTATTCTCAAGATACTGACAACTTATAAATAGCAACTTAGTTTTTTTTGCTGATTTTCTCTCTTTGGGTTTTTTGTTTGTTTTGTTTTTCCTAATGCCTCACATGAATGTGGTTTGACAGGTTGCAAGTACAAGAAGTTTAAGTACAGATAGCTAGGACCTGAAAAAAAAAAAAAAAAGATCATTATAAACATGAGACCTTGAGGCCATCTAGACAAACTAATGGGATCTCGTGCCAGGGAGACAGTTGGCATTATTTCCCTCTCTGCAAATAGCCAATATTTGTGGCACACAAACGTGCCTTTGGTCATTTTCATCTCGCCCCAGGCTGGCGCTTCTGCACTGAATTATTCTGATGACACAGCACAGAATTTTCCCAAATGAGCCTTGGAGTGAAGTAAGAAATGTTTTTCTTAGCTGTCTGTCCAGTTCAGTAATAGCCCAGAAATGCATTCTACAATGGCATTAGTCAGATATAAATTTTCCTGCAGCAAAAATGCTCAGTCTCTTTTTCCCCCACAAGTTTTCAAATCTGCTTTTTTTCCCCTAATATCACAAGTGAGCTGATGCAGGACTTTTACAAAAGAAAAAAAAAATCTCCTTGGATATTCAAACAAATCTTGATGGATAATTGCATACCCAGTTACAACTTCTATCTTCAAGAAAAATACTCAGACTGCAGTTGTTCCTTCTTTCTCTTCTCCCCTAATTTTCTGTTCCCTTTTTTGCCTTTCTCCACCTGCTTTGTATCACCTCTGTTTTGCACTGTATGGCTATGACTTCTGTATGGGTCTGCAAGTCAAGCACCGTGTGAACTAAGGATATCTATCTGGATGAGTGCTAGCCTAGATCTGGCCTGCAATGTTCAACCGCCTCTGATAGTTGACCTGTTGTGAGGGGCTCTGGCAGTTCCTCTCCTCGTCTGTTGCTTTTGGATGACCTGCATCACATTCAGAGTTCAGCTTACTAAGCTAACTATCATTTCAACCTGCACTGTAAATGTGTGCTGGAGTGCTCCTGGTATGAACGGATTGGAGTGAACTGTGGAAGAAGAGTGTCACCTGGAGACTGATAGGAAAATTAACTCAGCGATTTGACTCTCTGCAGATCAAGTTAATTTCTACTTACACTGCATTTATAGTACAGTCAACCAAAACAAGCGAAGTTGTTTTGCTTTTATTTTTTTAATACCTGAAATAACTAACAGTATTTTCTATAATTGCTTATTATTCATGAAGTATCTGACCATTACTTGCTCAGCTATTTTTGCCACATGGCAACCGTCTTCTATTTGTTGATTCAAGATTTCATGCATACAAGATATTCATTAAGCCCCGCATTTTGTTGTCATTTTAAACCAGACGATACTTCTTAGTGAAACAACATCTTCCAGTGAATTACAAGCAACTTGGCAACTGTTACCTGGTGGCTGCTTTGATGAACAAGCTGTCTCTACAGGAAATGCTGGCTAACATGTTGATTGCCTGAATATTATTTGTTGTTTTCCTTTAATTTTCAAGCTGCAATTGTGTGGATGTAACGACATTTGATTTAGTAAAATCAAAGTCATCTTTAGGAGCCTGTGTAGTGTGTGAGCACAGAGAAGCTTCTATGCTGTTAATTCACTCTCTTGCTAGCTCACATTAATCCTCTATGTAAGCGAGCCTTTACTTAAGCTCATTTCACTGTAAATCATTTCTACAAGATGAGCTTGCTTCAGTGATCAAGATCAGAGCATAAATAAGGTTTTAGATACTCTTGTATCCACATAATGCAGATCGCATCACTGTTTCTGGATTTGATCAGTTATTTCTTACCTGTTGATAGAGACCTGCCCTCCCCTTTCCATTTTAATCATTTTTTCTGCCTTCTGCATTGCAATCTTTGTTAATCTCTCCAGCTGGCAAGCAGAAACAGATGGCTCTAATTACTTAGACATTATTTTATCACTAAAAATCACATTTAAAAATCTCTCATAGAATAACATTCCCCATCTGTTAAGAGTTTAATTTTTATTTTTGGTGAAAGAGACGGAGTTTATTTTCATATCTGATGCCACCGCCTTTTGCCAGCTACTTGAGGGACAACTGTTAATAATTTATCTTTGATTTGCTTGCAGAGCTGTTAGTTGCCCTTCCAAGAAAGCCCTCCAAGCAGATATGAGGATGACAGCTTTTTGATGTCAGTCTCATCTCACATAAGGATACGACCTCACTGTGACTGATGCAAGTTGTCAGGTCCAACATTTTGTACAATCAAAATGCAAGTGATTGTAAAATTAACTTAGAACAAGCCAAACAAAGTCAGCACAGAGCAGGCGAGTGTGCCAGAAGCTGTCCGTGATGCAATTACTGGCATTTTTCAGACTGCTTGTTTGCATTTCTGCTTCTGAGTGGGACAGTCAGATCATTTATGGATGTAGTCTCTAAAATCTGCACTCAGGAAACAGTTGTGTCTTTATCGCAGTCCTTGTGATTCTTCTCAAGTTATCAAAAGGAGAAAGTAAAGCCAACCTAGGAGATAAATGAATAGGTGAAAGCATTTTACATGAGCTCTTGAAAACTTGTATCACCCATTAAAGAGTCAATATATTGCCTGAGCAAAATATCAAGTGTTCGTTCATTATCTCTTAACTCATGTCATTAGAGAATGAGCAAGATCGGCTTATACAAAACAGGCCATTCACCCTACTTCATGTAGCCATGACAATACAGAGTTTCTGTGAAGTACAATTTATCAGACTAGTTGTGCTGAGTCACGTGCAGCCTTGCATTTTCACAGCAGTGTGAAAAGCTGAGGAGAACTTCTTGCACCACGTCTTTAAGCTTTGTAATTTTGCAGGCTTCTCAACTGTGTGCTCAGGATTTCTAAGTTCACTGTTCATAAAATGAAAATATACAGACTGAATTAGAACAGAGCTTATACCATTTTCCTGCTAAAAGAGGCTAACAAACTAAACATAAGACCACAATGATGATTGTACTGAATATGATTTCTTGTTTAGTTGCTGTTCTGGTTACTGAGTCATCTGGAAAAAAAATGTAATAGTTACATTGTTTTTCTTGGGTTTGGAGTGGAAGGAATTTGAAAAATTCTGTTTTTCAAACATTTTTCTGTATTTTAATTTTATTCTTATTTTTCATGAGAAATTAAAATTACCAGAAAAAAAACATGCAGAGTTGTAATAACAAAATCAGTTTCTCAGTAGAGCGCATGACCAGAGCCTCCATTTTTTTTTGTTTTTGAAATGTATTTCTAGTCCTAATCCTCATATAGTAAATATTTACATGGGAATTATATAGCTTGTTAATCAAAATTAACATAAATATCAGAGATGGTGTTGTGGGGAAAAGAGAAAAAGCTTCTACGGATATCCTAAATCCTTGATGATGCTTTTGTTTTCCTCCTGTTGATTTATTCTGTATTGAGAAAGGATCTGTAGTAGAAAAAGAATGCTTGATAAAAAAAGTAGAGTTTAAATTCCCAGACTTACACGTGTTTAAATTGTCATTCTCAACCTTTTATTTTGTGGAATTATGTCAAATCAGTGAAATATGTGATTAGCTTTGGAATCATTTGTATCATTTTTGCCTCTTTTATTTAGGGGATTTTCACTAGTGTGATGAAATCACTTTTGAAAAAAAGTATGTGTGCATATATATATCAGCACATTTATCTTGTTAGATTTGTATTCCAGTGTTATAAATGGTTCTCCCTTTTCATCTTGCCATACAGCTGGATGCATGCCTTGTGCTGCTACATCAGGGCAGCACTGACAGATTGAATTAGTAGCCATCTTTTCATTCAGATCTCAATGTTGCTATCACCGAGGTTAACAGACTAGGAAAAAAAAATCGTTCCAGACACTTCTCTGTAGGCAGGATAACTTCTCCAAAGCTTGTGTTTTTCTAAACAGTGCCTCCCCTTGAGGCTTACTGATATCTCAGATTTTGAGTAACCCCCAGTATTTACTGCCTTCCACATTCCAGTCTATAAGCTTCAGTAGTTCACATTTTGTCCTGTCATCAAGAGTTCACAAACTATTAGCAGAGTTTACAAATTATGATGCTTTTCAGATTTTGACAGAGCTCTTCATAATAATGGAATAAATGGGGCCAAAGCATCCAACTTGGTTCTCTTTGGCAGAAAGAAAAGGAGGGCTCCCTTTGGATGTTTCTCAAGTGAGTTTCTGTATCAGTGAGTTCCCAGTATGAGGAAGTAAAGCTTAACGTGTATGACAGGCAAGTCCTACTTGCTCTGAAGCATATCATTCTGTACCATGCCCCTCTGCATAGGGGTAAATCCTGAGCATCACTAATAGGTAACAAGAAAAGGAAGAGAAAAGAGGAGTCACACATTCTCGCATGCTTTATCCTCTTTGGTGTGCACTGCCATGAATAAAGCAGGGTTCTGATTTGGTGCGCACACTGTTAAGAAGATGAGGTTTGAGGGAAGAGTGGAGTTTGTCATAGATATTCGTGTACTACTGCCCTGAAATGACCCAGGCTACTTGGCTATGGAAGCATGGACCCAATTGCTCTTGGTGTCGTCAAACAGCCACCATTACTTTTTTCCACTGAACCACCTTACCTAATGCTGCTAGGTCTCACGCCTCATTTTAAGAGTGAATGCAACACAGAAACAATTTTTCTTGCTGCTTAACCACTGGAAATGGCTATGACCTATCACTGCAGTCAGCATCAGAAGATGATCCCTTTCATTAGTTTCTTCTCCTACGTGAATGCTATCTTTGGTGCAGTGCCACTTTGCAGGAGGCTGTCCTTTTATGGTGGAATCTGACAGACCACTCAGAGATCTTGAATTCTGCTTTCAGCTTTGAAGCCATAGCTTTTGTACTGTTTAAGACACTGTTTTAGTCCTAGGGGCTTTGTTCCCACTGTTTCTGCTCCAGAGCCACTGTTTTATGGATGTTCAAGATGCGCTATGCATTTCACTATGCGGAGTGCCCCCAGGAGCACATCAGTAGCATCACGCAATTATCATGGTAATGCCTATGGCTAGAAAAGTGCTGTTATGCAAGGAAGAAGCTGTTGTATGTTCACCTCATAGGTAAGTGAGGAAGTAGCAGAAAGAAGAAAAAGCAGTGTGAGAAATTTTAGGAACTAGGAGCCAGCAACTGCAGAGAAAAAGCTGCTATCATCATTTCCAAGTGGCCCCTTCAATATATTTAGTTGGGCAATATTTATCATCTTGAAGCTTGTTTACCTGCCTTGATAAGTAAGAGTTGCCACCAGGCTAATGAGTCAGCATCTGCTCATCAATGATGTTGATGAGAGTGGAGTGGATTTGCTGTAGGCTGTTCTGTTACTTTGTTTAGCCAGCGGTTAGTCAGAATTGGTTTCAAAAAATACATAGGCTGTTAGTGGTGGTTGGTTGGTTTTTTTTTCTTCATGTTTTGGTGTCAAAGAACAATGAAAGAGTTGTCAAGACTACCTAATTTATTTGTACTCTCACAGGTATTGCTATTGCTGCTGTGTTGTTCCTCTGATCTCCTGCCTTTCCCATGACGATTTCCCAGTGTTTACATTATGGTAAGTCAGTTGTTCGCTTGTGTGTTTCCTTTAGGGGTTAAAAATGTAATGAAGGATACCTGAGGGAAACTTGATTTTAATTTGATAAAAGCTCAGAAGTGTCTCTGTGTTCAACATGCTAAGCAAGTGTTTCCAGGAATATGTGTACTGAATGTTCTCAGTTCTACTTTCCTTTGTTTTCCATCCAGGATTTGAGTGCAGGCACCCAGCCACATTCTGTGACCAAGTCAGAGATCCCAGACCACGTTCTTTACACGATAGGGACGTGCGTTCTTGTGATTGGCTCCATCGGCATCATAGGAAACCTCCTAGTTCTCTATGCATTTTACAGGTACCCGGATTTCTTTCCTTTCTCAACTTGCTTTGTAGTTTGTATGCATCTCTGTGAAGATATTCTGCATGGATTTCTTCTTGGGTTAGAACTTCAAGAAAAGGCTGTTGATGTCAGATGTATACACCTCATATATATCCATGCAGATCACCAATGTACTCTTGTATAAATTCCTTGTGGGGATTCTAAAAAAATGTGGAAAAAAACACGTAGAAAATTGATTTAGTAATAATTCTAGATAAAATTTAAGGACATGTTTAATAATTTTGATAATAGAAACATCAGCCCCTCTGTTACAAACTCCTTCACTCCCTTTGTAGATTTTGCTAATAATAACTAAGGATGAGGTTCCCATCAGCCCAGATTATCTTGGAAGAACATGGAAGTAGTGTGCTACACTAATGAGCTCATGCCACCAGTGTGTTCCCTGCTTCAGGCAGATCGTAGGATTTCTGTCAGCTTTTATGCTTTCTGGGATTCTGACAGTGCAATAGATGGGTGAAGCTACTGCATCTAGAGTATGCAAAAATCTCATGAAAAAAGAAATGAAAAGCTGCATTCTACTCCATGTTATGATGCTGAAAATTCCAAATCCTTTTTGCTCGCTTTTTATTGATATGAAGAAAGGCATTCACATTAGTTCAAATATTGTTACATTGGAAGCACATCAGAGAGGCCTTAATTGATAGACTGAATGAAGTACTCTGAAAATTTATTTCAAGCCATTTAGAATTGCTCCATGCAGTTTTCAAGAACGAAGTTATTTATAAAATCCTGTTTGTTGCCTTTATCTAGAAGAAAATGTGTAGTCAGCTCTTTTTGTATTCTGTCTTCCTGAATTCCAACTCTAGGTATCAAAGTTCTTAATTTAGCTGCACAATCAAAACAGTGTTTCATTCTGAGGGACAAGCAGTTTAGCATTACACCTTCTCAGCGTATCCATCCGAAGTGCCACTTGTAAGGTAGAGGAAAGATGAATTCCTGAGTTAATTTATTGTACTTTTTAATCAGCAGAAAGCAGCACTTCAAACAGATAACCCAAAGTAGAAGAGAGGGGTTCTTTATTATGTTAACAGTGTTTGTATTCTCCTTAGCTAGGTACAAGGGCAATCTCAAATACCAGCTGAAGGACTCCCAGGAGATCAAAACTACTTCAGGTTACCTGAAGCACGTTCTGCAACCTCAGAGACTAGTCTTGCCCTGTGTGGCACACGCTTGTTGGTGCTTATACAGGGAACCAAGGAAAGAGGCAGATTGCTCTTCTCTTGAGCAAAATCATGTGTTTAAGGATAGATGGAATTCTTCCTCTGTTGGAAGAGAAAGGGTTTATTTTATCCCCCGTGCCTTTGTCAATCATCGTTTTGAAACAATGCATTTTTCGCTGTGGTAATTGATTGATGGTTGGCAATTCACTGAATGGGAGTAACTGCTCATTGCCACCTGTAGACTGTTTATGCTAGTAAATAAAGCAATCAGGATGGCTATTTGTTCATTTTGCCTATTTCAAGTGATGCATTTCTCATCTGTTCTTAAGCAACAAGAAGCTGAGGACACCCCAGAACTTCTTTATAATGAATTTGGCTGTGAGTGACTTCTTGATGTCAGCTTCTCAGGCCCCCATATGCTTTATCAACAGCTTGCACAGAGAGTGGATCCTTGGCGATATAGGTACTTTCTGAGACTAATTTGTCTTTCACTAGCTCTACTGTCTTTAACATATTTTAGGGCTAATAATATTGGCTTATGCAATGGAGAGAGCATCACAAAACTCTGGAGTTACAGCCTAGGTTTTTGACGTGATCTGGCCATGACACATTTTGTGTAATAATCTATTTCTCCATGTCAGGTTACAAAAAAAGGAGTCAACAACAACATGTAGTGATGGCGAATTCTGAGGGTGAATGTCATGGATAAAGATGGATAGGAAAGCTTTCTTTTAATTGTAAATATTTTTATTAGTTTAAGAAGCAGTTAATATTTAGAAAAGTACATTGGTATCAATTAATGTGTTCCTAGGATCACACATTTAACTATGGAAATGTAGGGATTTGGCAGGACTCTGCAGCGGACATAGAACTGACTGGATGGTTGCAGGCTGCGGCCAAGATCTTCACGTCCAGGTGGAGGCCAGTCATGATTGGTGTCTTCCAGGGGTTCATCCTGGGACTGCTGGTCTTCAACACCTTTTTTAAGAACATAGAGAATAGAGATCAAGTGCACAACAAGTTTGCTTACAGCACTAAGCTGAGCGGTGCAATTGATACAATAGACAGGCTTGAGGACTGCATCTGGGAACCTAATGAGGTTCAACGAGGCCAAGAACGAAGTATTGCACTTGGGTTGGGTCCGTTCCAGTATGTGTTCAGTCTGGGAGAAGAACTCACTGAGAACAGCCCTGTGTAGAAGAACTCTGGTCTGAGAACCAGAACTGCTAAGTTCTGGCGGACTAAAAGCTTGCAGCGTGCATTTGCAGAATGGAAGGCCAATAGTATCCTAGGCTGCAACATTTTTTGAGGTATCCATTTGTCATTAGTATATAGATATTTGCTGCTGCCTGTTAAGATCAATATATTGGGCAACAGTCCAGGAAAATGTAACCTTAATTAGATTGGATTTTCTTTGAGGCAGTTTTCCATTGACTTAATGTTTCCAGCTACAGTCCGCAATGGAGAGTAGGACTTAATACATA